CGAGACTGGAAAATGCTCAGGTCCTTCACAGCTCTATTATGCATTAATGGATAATGCCTTGTGATCCCCAGCAAGTGTGAGCAAATGCAAATGATTATTAAAGTAAAAAACTAGGATGGCTTTAAACATTTGTGCCGTTTCAGAAGGACTGGTCCTAAAGAGCTGCTTTTATCTAAAAAGCAAAGCAGCCAAGTTCTGTATCTAGAGACAAAAAACAGGAGAGTTCTCAGCAACTGATAACTTAATAGCCTTCCATCAAAATAAGCCTCAATGAAGGTTTACCAAATTAATATCCCTCTTAAGGTTATGCTGATATTAGGGTACTGCTAAGCCTGAGATATTTAGGTGAAACGTGAATTTCATGCTCACAAAAGCGGCAAACAAGCCAGTGCTGCTGACCTCCAAGTAGGCAAGTGACCCTCAATCCTACATCTAATATTTAGAAGTAGCCCCACTCCTGAAGAAAAATGTTTCTAAAGTAAACAAGATATTCAGATATCAAGTCCTTAATCTTTATCCCAGACAGGCAGATCTCCATACGGGCACTCACTTCCCAAAAACAACACGCTTCTCACCTAGAGGAAACGGAAACAAAATCACCTTGTGAGCTTCTCCTTACCGAAAGGCTTTGTACGCAGGTCGAAACCAGCAGACGTAGCCGCAGGGACTGAAGAGAATAAGCCAAAGGATGGCCAAACCAAAATTGACCCCGTAGCCTCCTCCGATCCACCACGCTAGGCACGCAATTATATTCACGACTAGTGTGATGCAGTAGACTGTAAAGAGGGCAGAAGAAAGACCATGAGGCTGCGTGGTTTCACATCTTCAGAGAAAAAGGAAACAACTATCCTGCATTATATGACAGGACCATATATACAGTGGGAAACTCGTGCCCAATAAAGCAACCACTACCCGTCTACTAATGGCTTTCGGCTGTGACCTGGGAGGTCAGCAGCACAGCAGCGCATCCATTTCCAGCGGATCTGTCACAGCAGAGGGACGGAGAAACTCTTTTGGGGGCCTGCCAAAGGATGGAGAGCTGGGCGGTAACCGCTGCGCCTGATACAGGCAAGATTCAGTCCAGTATTATTATAAACTAAGAGTAAGCAGGTTAAATTCCTGTTTGTAGCAAGATCCCTTTATGGGAGGAGAGCGGTATAAAAACACCAACCGCCCTGTGCGCAGCCTCAGCGTTACTTTGGTCTCTGCGCTTGCTAAGGCTGCCCAAGGAGCTATCTCAGAGCTAGCAGAGTGCCCTGCAGACTCTCTCTGCTTCCCTGTGCCTCAGGAGGAAGCCTGCAAGTCAGCTTCAGGGCTTGCGTATGCTGCCTTGAGCTGGGGAATAAGCAAACTCCAAGCAGGCTGAGAACGCAGGAACATAAAGGTGGCTTACAGGCCCTTTTAGGTCCCTGTTCCTGCCACTTGGATTAGTTGACAACCGATCCCAGAGAGCACTAGTGCTGCGCTAAATAAACTTGCACAAAATGATGTTGTTATCCCCTTTCTCTGAAGCTCACAATAGCTGCCAGAGAAGTGGGGCTGTACACGTCCTCGCTTTCGCAGGCTGAGCTCTGCACACACGGCAGGGGCTCCCCCCGCTTTCTCCGCTGTGCTCCAGGGACCCTATGCTCAGTCCCCAGCTCTGCAGTCTTCTGAAACAACCAGCGTCGAGTAGGCACAGCCCAATTAAAAGCTCTTTTTTGGAAAGCAGGGGGTGGTTCATTCAATTTTTTTTTTTTTTTAAAAAGTAACCTGTATCAGTTAGCACTGACAAGGAGACACGAGAAGGCAGAGGGTCCAAACATGCCGGACACTGCAGTACCACCTGGTGACAAGGTCACAGTAAGTGGACTTTATTCCCATTTATTCAGTCAGAATTAACCCCCGGAGTTTCTCTTCTCCTGTGAGAAATGAACACGTCCCATCCGCACCTTGCTTTGCTATGTGCTGCAGCTCTCAGCTCAGCCAGGCTGGCCGCTCATTCCAGCGACTCCTCTTTCTTTCTCTTTGCACAGACTCACCTCCCTTCGCTCATCTCAGAGGCTGCTGAACAATTACAACCCTGCATAGGCATAATATTATACTGAGGATATGGTCAAGGGAATCCAGCATTTAAAATATCCTAACCCAGCTGCTTATTCTGACACTTGAATTATAAGAGAGTTGAAATAAAACATTGGCTTACCAAAGAGAGAATTCCTTCCTCTTCTAAGTAGCTAACAACAAGGCTTTATATGCCATATCTTGCATGTATCTTAATATTTGGAGGTGCAGGGGAGGAGGGATTTTAATTATTTAAATTTCATTTATATGCTAATTGGCTGTACTTCACCAAATGCTTAGTTTCACAAGTTACTTGCTCTCTAATAATAAAACATCAAGACAGGAACACCTAAGTTTTAAGGAACTTCTGGTTCTCTCTATGTGTCAGGCAGGAGTTTGTTCTCCAGTAGTGGGAGCTCTGGTATAGGTTTCTCCAAATCACCATCTAGCTTCATAAAATGGTCAAACCCAATTAAAAGTAAACAGCATTCAACCTTCTAGCAATGACTTTTGCATTTCTATTTTTAATATTGGCCTTTTCTTGTTTACTGTCTTCCCTCCATATGTGTCTTTCCCTCTATTCCATCCCAAAAAGTCTGGGAGACCCCAAAAGAAAATGGGCAGCAGATGGAAATTTAAAACTCATGGTGAAAATGCCAGGTCTCCTCAGCCATGCATATGACTAGTTGCCTAAATGGCTGGCATCTTTCCATCTTTCCACTAACTTGAATGAGGGGCGCTTTGTTTAAAAAGAGCGACATACAAAGGCAGCTTTACAGCATGCAACATTTAACTAGTTAGGCTGGAGGGACAAGCAGTTTCTTCAGGCAAGAAAATTACAGAGCTCATTTCAGCATCTCTAAATAACGGAAGAACAATGAAGTGATAGATTATGCTATTATTTGTATACGCAAATCTCCCTCATACACACATCCTATACATCTGGAACCAAAGCCACGCCATCAAATGCATATCTCGCAGAAAACAAGCTTTTCTTCAATGGGAGGGGTAAATACAAGGACAAGCATTGGGGAGGGGGGAGGGGAAAAAAAGAAAAAAAAATGATAACAAGGCAAAGAGATTTTTAATCTTCCAAAGCATTTCCTGTGGTTCTCTGGGCCTGCCAAAAGGTTTTTCATCCAATTTCACTCCCTGGAGAAGGATGGCTAATTTTCTACTACTGGCTTTTGCATTGCTCAGCAAAACAACAGAAGTCCAGAGAGCCAGGAGGTCTATTCCTACAGAACATCAGCAAATCACTAGTTGTGACCAAGAGGATCAACGCCCCTCTAAAGCTGGGGCTAAGACATTTTACATTTAAGGACAGCTAAGGAAAAGACAGCATACAGCTGTCTTTAGATACTGCTTGAGACTGGACGGGGAAATTTGAGGATGGCACCAAGGAAAAGAATTTTAGGATTCATACAGCAGGGTGGGGAGACAGGTAACAAACATATGAGCCACATGAATTTTCCTGCCTAAAATCCTCCTATTCATCTTATTCTAGGTGCATTGCAAATTATTTTAAGAGGGTTATTTACTTGACATCAGTAAGGCTTTCAAATATGGCCTGTCTTTTTTCCTCCTCAAATTTACTAATAGCCTTTTCCAGCACTGATATTCATCCTTTTCTTCAACACCAGCTCTGCAACAAAGATTCAAGGCATGACAGCTTAACATTTGGGCACAAAGGTAGTTATAGCGTTCTAAGAGGAATCACTGATTCTCATAAACTGTGGTGAAAACCCAAAAACCCATATATCATAAGGATTTATGTGTTTCTACTACGCATGTGATTTTCCCTGCACATGTTTCTTATTCAACTTACAGATCCATACACGGTAGATTCTCTTCACCAGAGTTTGATAATCGATGGGAATTTCATCGGCAAAGTTCTGGTAGAAACACGGTTTCAGAGGGATAAACTTGGGGAGCGGTGGGAAGTTATTCACCTTTTCTACAAAGAAGAACACATAGATCAGCTGAACGCAGAAATGTTCTTATGTCAACGAGCAAGTGTGACATCCCCCGTGCTTCCCCAACGCATAAAGGTTCTGAGGACCCCTAAGGTGAGAAGACTCGCAAGAATTAGAAGAGAAAACAATCATCAGCTCTGGCCATCCAGATTACTTAACTTCAGTATAGTCATCTTTAGTATGGACACCAAACATCTTGTTCCCCTTGCCTAGCAGTGGATGCAATACATTTATACCAGCACACGCAAGGTTTAGAGCAGGAAAAAGAAACAAGCTAATGACTAACACATAGATTTGGTAACTTAAAACATCAGTATAAAGTTGGTGCAAAAGGCACTGCAAGATACAGAGCAAAAGAGTATCAAGACCTTAGAAACAGCTCAGGGATGAAACCTCAGGTAAAACGAGCAAGGCCAGCTAAGCAGATTGCCCAAAATGTCTCAGGGAAGCAGTTTGCACAGAGGTTTTTAGTTAGAACCTCTCTGACAACTAAAGCAGGAGGAAAGACTGGTGATTTTCCAGATAAAAACAGATTTACCTTCAGACACAAACTCTGAGTATGCGGGCTTGCTGGCATAACGATTATGCCTTGGGACCTGTAGCAGATATATCTCTATGACAGTAAAGAAGGGTGCATCCTGCTAAAACTGGAATTTAGTACCCAGACATCATCCAGTTTGGGAAGGCAAATCAGATGCCAGGAATGGTTTTGCTGTTATGAGATTCATGAGTGTACATTTTTTTTCTTTTCCAAGTCAAGTCTTCCCACAAAGTGAAGCCCCAGTGAAGCAAGCTTTGCATTCAGATACCATAAAAATCAGTGAACACTGACAAAAGCAAGAAAAACTTACCTTGGGAAGAAATTACTTTTTAAAATCAAGTAATTAACTACCTAAGCCCTCTGTATTTAAGCTGCTGTCAGCTTCTATAAAGATGCACAGATCCGTGTGCTTATATATGTGCGCCCGGATGTGAGTTTCTACATGTTTGGGAACGTCTGCTCTTGCCTTCCAGTGCTGATTAAAGTTTGATTCCAGGGCATTGTGACTAATTGTCTCTCGTCTACTTCAGCCCCAGTAAACAGAATTAAAAACAACCAGAGGAAGAGATGAAGAATGTCCTGGGAAAACCTCCAAATGGCACAGAAGACAAGAGGAAATGTCTGAACAAGAACCGTCAGCACAAGAGTTCCCCTTCTCTTGCCATTATCGCTGTGTGAGAAGATATTTTGCAGAAGCAGCTTCTTAACTTCGTTTTAAGGTTGGCAGGGAGGAGTCTAAAACTGCATGCCATGCTTAAGGAAGAAAAGGCTTTACTTCATGAGAAGGAAAGGCATATTTTCATGCAGAAAACTATGAGGAAAACATCCACTGCAAGTACCTCAGAACTAAGTATGGAAAATGTCTTAAGTCATCAGCCCAACTCGAGTTTTCAGTAGACTTTTTTTATATACAAATAAATGTTATGCCTACTTGCCCTCCTTAGCCATCACCTGTGAATGCACGACATTAACTCAGATGGTTCTAAAGCCTGCATTAGTTACTGGTTAACACCTATCGCTAACCACAAGAAGCCACGTCATGTGCAGTACTGATCTCCCATGGCTACTTTCAAAGTCCATAGGAATTTGGACTTCTTAGCACTAACTTTTTGTTTGCTATAAACACCTAATGGGGGTTCCCTTTGACAATCTGTCTCAGCAGTCTACAAAAGGATGCAACAATGCTGGATTTCTAAATGCAAAGCAAAGGGGGTACAGCTTTAAAAGCTAAGAAGACAGCTCTCTCTAGGGAAGTCAGTAAGAGCAAGGTTAGCTGGTCACAGTAAAAGCAGATTCTCTAACATCTTTGAGGGCATGGGGGGCAATTTCCTCCTATCCCTCTTAAAAACCTGTAGCTGCAGCTAGTTACTTTGGTTCAGCTCTCTTCCATTTTTCTTGTCCTATAATTCAGGTCTCCCACCAGCAATAGAGTTGTTGCCAGCCTCTAGTGCAGAAGTCCCCAGATGGTGAGGCCCAAAACAACTGCCACTTCTGAGCACTGGCCACTGCAGTTTGTCATTTTTCGAACTCACAGATGCTCCAAGTCCTTCCATATCTATTTTAGTTACAGAAAGATAAGGGTTATACCTCTCCTCTGTTGCTGTCTAGCTGCAAGGAGCCAGACGACCACTATTCTCCCACCCCGGAGGTGTATGCTTCTCAGAGACTCTGTAGTTTTAAACCGTTTTGGGTTACTTCCAAGAAAAGACAAAAGAAACCAAAAGAAAATATTCTGTCATGTCTGACTGCATAGCTTGGAGTGCTACGGGCCTCACACCAAGGCAAGGATCAACCTGTTAGATCAGCAAGCATGATATATGCTTTTAAAAACCAAATCATATTGCCCGTGAACAGCAGCTGTATGAAAGTCCAAGAGTTTATCTTATCTGAAAGAAGTTATGGGCAATTTTGTTACCAATTTCCCTGTAAGTAAAGTTGTATTGAAATCAATAATACAGGTAGGAATGCTGTGGAAAGAGCTGTTTAGCCTCTGTAAGAGAGGAATTGCTCTCATGTACTTTTTTGTGAATAAATTTCCTCCTCATAAAACTTTCAAAAAAGTGACATCCAAACCTTTACTGCTAGAACAGTAGCCTCAGCTAACAAAACTATAGTGGATACAGAGCAAAATGGGCATATGACCACAAGAAGAAAAGAGAAGGAGCTAAAGAGCTACTGAGGGAACATTAAGAATTTAGGAAGAAAGGAAATGTGTCATACCTAACGAACTATAGCCATCACATAATACTGAAAAACATCCTCTACAACCATTTTTCTTCCTGCCTCACCATATTTTGAGGGGCTCTTACCTGCCATTTCTATTAGGACTGTTCCCTGAGGAAGTTTCAGACAGACAGCAACAGACCTATGGGAAAAAGAAAAACTAAGTCAGCAGACATCACTAACCAGTATCCAAAGAACCTCCTAAAATTGGAAGCATCTTTTGGTATCGTGTATTTGACAGACTGTAACCCCAGAGTTCCCACTGCAAACTAGTCATCTCAGACTGCACGAAGTATGCAGGCTGGACCCTCATAAAAACTGTCGCGATCTCCCCTCGCTTGTATGAAGCTCCACCTGGTAGGTTCTCATGCAGTACAACCACCTCATCAACAATTTTAATGCTTTTACTGTTCAGCAGCAAACAATCATGCTCTTAGCAGTACCCGGCAAAGGCCGAGGATGCACAAAAATACACTGCCAGAACATGCGCACATTCCAGCTGAAACCGGACAACAAGCTGAGACACATAGGTCTGGTTGGAACCCAGCAAAGCGCACCTGTTAGAAGAGAAATTTGTGCTAGCTCACCAGACTTAATGCCTCATTTAGGTGCTGAGATGATTTGCGGGCTCCTGGCTCTCTGTGGACCTTCCCAACTGTGGAAACAAACAGGCAATCATCCATTGTTAGCTGGGAAGTAAGCTGCTCTTTGAAACTTAATCAGTACCCCAAAAACAACGTCCCCCATTAATAATTATGCACAACCTTTATTAAAATACAGATTCATTCTTCTTTCTTTTGCCACCATTGAAAATTACTGAAATTCCTGACGGATCGAATCCTGTAAAGTTTACCCCCTGTCAACTGCGTTGTTGATCTGGGCAGAACCGATCCCACAAGTGAAAGCTGCGCAGAGGTGTGGACTGAACGGCCGCTTTTATTTGACCCACCTCTATGTTCAGAGATAAAACTCACTGTGTGCCTGTATCTGCAAATTCCAAACAGAAAACAAAGAATCCCACAGAACAAAAAAAAACTCTAACGCAGTATTTCAAAGGTTGACAAGAATTATCAAGAACAAAAAGGCATAGACTAAAAACTCCTTTTATAATAACAAAGCCAACAGCACACACTACTGCAACATCTACAGCAGCTACTGCACTCAGGTCAGAATAGCTGTTTTGTATCCAAAGCTCTTGGGATTTAAAGCAACTCATTTCTCTTTTCTGCACTTCCGTGCCTGATGCATGATCTGGACGATGCACATTTCATACTAGCGCAACTGTTTTGTTAAGGTTTGCATTTTATTTACTTTTTAACTGACCTACTCGAGCACAATCCCTGGTGGAGACAACGGTATATTGATAACAAGTGGAACCTGTACAGGTGGAATTTAATCTTCCTGTACAGAGCGAGTCGGTTAAATACTAGCTTAATTAGGTCTACATTGAGGAGAACATATTGTTTTGCTTGTGCCAGCCTAAGCAACGGAGCATGGACAGGAAACCTATGTAAATCACGAGCTTCTCAGGGTTAGGACTCCTTTGTCAAACGCTCACACAATGGGGCCCCGTCGCAATTGAAGCCTCCAGGCTTTCCCACCATACAAACTTTAACTTATAACATAATTTAGAAATGGGCGCATTTTGTTTTTTGCTCCCTTAAAAAAAAAAAAAAGCGTGAATAGAAAATCAAGTATGAAGATAGTTAAGAATACAATTACAACTTTGCCCCACCCATTCCCAGCTGCTCCCAGCCCAGATCTGTAAATTTGGCGGGGGGAGAACAAATGATACATGAACACCAGTTAACATATCCAGAGAAAAGATTTTTTTTTACTTAAAGAAGTACGGTGATTTCTGCAGAATAGGACGACTGAGTGTACTTCAATGTCAGTATCTTTCTTTACAGTTGCACAGGGGTGGGAGGCATCAGTTTTCCGGTTGGAAAAAGGACCAGAAGGAAAGACTTGGGGACATATTCCTGCCTTTATGGGGTCTAGCTCCCCTGTGGCCTGTCTTCTAAAAGCAACAACCGCAGCACAATTGAGGGGCTTTAGCTCAACTAAATAAATAATTAGAGAAGAGAAAAGGCAGCACTCCAGCGATACATCCCTTCCGAACCTTATCCACTTGTTCTCATGTACCTGCTCAATTCTTAATAAATCTCAGCCATGGTTTGATGCTCTGAAGATGGGATATACGACCACGTAAAGTAGCTACAACACAAACCACTGAAGACTGCTCTGTTTGGCAACCTTTGCTGTTAATGAGTAATCTCATAGAATTTTCTGGGACGACAACTGTTGTTTCCCTACCGAAAGATGCGACTTTTAACAGCAAAATGACATTAAGAATATTCCTTTCTGCAAAGATGAGAGCACATGAGCAAATTTTGCACTGAATAATCAGTTCCTGAAATGCATTTTTCTCCCCTTGGTTCAAGTGGATTGAGGCTCTAGTCTTGCTCTCAGTGAAAGGAAAGGGAATTTTCCCCCATGGACATCTATGGCAGCAAGCTCAAACCTTAGAGCTCTGAGATACATGTGCAATGGAGTTGCACTCTTCATACCTCCCCAGCTCACCATTTAATTTGGGCAGGACTTCTGCAAACTCTTAACTGCAGGGTCTTTGATACTGTGCTTTACACTTTTTGCTAAGCGATGATGCTGCTCAATTCAGATTGCTGATGGCCAAAACTCCTTTAGGCGAAAAAAAATTGCACTGTGCAGCCTAAATATCCTCAAGTCAAGCTCCAGTTGCAAAGTCCAAGTTTAAGGAAATAGATTCACTGCAAATATGGATAAACAGGTACGTAAGCAGGTACTATCCAACCACTCACGTGACGTTTGTGTGCAAGATAATAACACACAAAAATAACCTCTATATTCACAGAAGTGTTTTCAATTTAATTGGAAATAGATAAAACCCAGCATCCTGCACCCTCTGCTGCAGTTTTTTCATATAAAATCCATTATTTGCGGAGGGAGGAAAAAGAACACTTACTAAGGAAACCATGGTGTGAAGTGAACTTCCTTTTTCCACTGTGCTCATAAGCAGTCAATGAATAACTCCAAAGTTTACAGCCCAATTCACATGACTCACAAAAGCCCACTGGAGACAGTAGGAGCTTTTCTTCATCTGTATTTCAAAGACAAAAATGTCCTGTGTCGTTTCTGAGAGACAACATTTTCCTTTGAAACCAAGAAATATACGTAAGTAGTAGTGCTTTTCTAGGAAGCATACAACATGAATACTTCAAATACGACTTTAGCGGAAAACACATTTCATTATCTAGGATAAGGGAAAATTTTGTGAAGGAATACCTGTGGCAAGCTGCTGGAGGCACATAAGACTGTTGATATAAAATTTATTCTGCCTACATTAAGGTAAGTACTTTTAATATTTTCAGTTATTTCTCACACTCATTTTTTTTCCCCCTACTGCCTTTCTCCCTTTCTGGGGAAAGAACAGGCCAAAATAAGAGTGCTAGCAGGGAGGTGGGAAAGCCGCACTCAGATCCAGCTTTGCCATAAAACCCATCTAGTGACCTTGGACAACTCAGCTAAGGCCAGATTCACAAAAGCACCCAGGCTCCTTTGGTGCCCTCTTCAACCTCCCAGCCAAACCCAAAAAGCACCCAACATCCTAAGCTGTCTCCAGTAAAGTTCACCAGCTTCTGAATTCTTACTTTAGGATATTCTCTACGCCTCTTTATGTTTATATTCTTGCTTTGATTTGATGACTGTAGTGAGGCTAAGAGTTTCTATGCAGGACTGTAGTCGGGCATTTAATCTACAAGACTTGGCTGAAAGGAAATTGGGTGGCTCCCCACAAGGACAGCGTCCGTCCATAACAGCAACGGCAGGAGAACTTGCCAACCCTGCCTCGTAAGTCAATGATTTAAAGCTTAGCGCATAGCCAGAAGGAAAAGACCTGGACACGAGGAACATCTCCTTGAAGTGGTTCAAGCCCACACCTCCTGTGAGTGCCGTTTCCAGAGATCAGGCTTTCTGAAGTCATTTCATGCTGTGAGCAAGGGACATCCCACGTGTTTCAAAACAGCAGATAGCCTGAAAGCAAGGGCACTCTTCAGGGATCTGGGAGATGTGGATTTGAGACCACCAGGATATGGAAGGAATTGAAGTAAGTCCACAGCATTCATCAGATAAGCACATGTCTTGTTCATACCTCTCCAGTGGCATTTAAGAAGAATGTGGCGACTACCCTGGTTTTTAAGAGAAAAGGCTTTTTCCTCTCCTACACACCGATCACCAAGAATCTCATTCAGATGCCCAGGTCTTATCAGGAACTTCCCAGAGAGCTCAGGGCAGTAGAGCTCCCTCTGGAAGGTACCAAAGAATTTAGCTCAGCAACGCCAGAGTCCCTTTGCAGATCTAAGCATGCTGACAGCGTTTCCCCTCCCTGATGCATGTTCCCAACCCTCGCAGCACAGGGCATCGGTGATGCCAGCACAACGTTTACAGTGCTGTGCATCAAATTAGATAGGAGAACTAAACCAGCTAGAAAATACTTCCAAAAGGCACTCGGTGCCGCCAAGGAAACAGCCAAACCTGCATGACCAGTGAGAACGCGGAAACTGTTTATGACAACATTTCTGCTGCAAAAACGCACAAGGGAACAATAAAGTTGGCAAGTTAGCTGCCTCCCATGTCAATCAGACAGATCGTTTGATGTTGCAGGAATCTCTTGGGGCTTCCTAGGCTTTGCAGTGTATTCTGCTGCCCTCTCTCCCATCATCTCGTATTCCGGAGCTGGCAAGGGCAGCCTGGGGAGCAAGCACAACAGGAAGCAATTCCCCCCAGGTCTCTTGTAGACTGTTTACACAGCCAAATCGACTGCCATGACAGATGGTAAAAGTTTTAATTTAGGTGCTATGGAACACAGAGCAGACAAATATTGACTGTGATACAACTACTTCCATAAGTAAGGCTCAGTCACACAAGGGTAGAATTGCAGAGGGCTCCAGAGGAAAAGAGAAAGCACAAAAACACCCATGTCCAGGGAACAATTCCACCATTTTTCAGTTACTCAGACTGGCCTAACATAGGGGACCTGTCTTGCAGACAGTAGCAACAACGTTAATTTGCCCAGACTAACACTAGAAAGCAAATAAATGAAACCGTTAGTTACTTGCTTCATCTCTATGTTACCTCTCTCTTCATCACCAATTAAGATTAAGAGTTGCTTAAGCTAATTAGCGATCACAAAAAAACAAAGACTGGAGAGAAAAAATGTAAAACCCTTCTTCTGTCTCTTTCAAGGGCAATATTCAGAAGAGCTGGTTCTCAAACTATGCATGTCAAAAAGCTTCAGCCTTGCTGCTAACAGTCTCCTGGGAATCATTTAAGCAAACTTCCTCAGCAGCTGCCACACAGCCTGCCCCTGCTCGTGCTCACCCGGACTTGAAGGTACCTGCCTCGTCCCCTCGGTCTGTCCCAAGCTCCTCTGGGAGCTACCGAGCACTGGCCTGGCAGACGCATGCCCCCGCCAGCTTGCCTCACACATCCAAGGCAGAAGGTGGCCGCAAGAGACACGTTCCTGAGGACCCATCAGGGAAGGCTGGAGGACGCAGTCAGGGCGTTTGTAACCCCCTGAGCCCCGAGGGGACAGCAGCAGCCTCCACACTGCTGCCATTGCACTCCATCGGGGAACACTGTGCCTCCAGGGCTGTCCCTGATACCTTGCCACACACGCGCTGCCCCCGATATCTGCTCCACCACTGCTGCTCCCACCAGGGCTGACCCCAATACCTCCCCCCACCAGGGCTGTCCCCCACCAGGGCTGTCCCCGATTCCTCCTCACACAGGTGCTGTCCCCAATACATGCTTCAAACACATGCTTCCTCTAGCGTGCTCTCCCCTGCTGCTGCCCCCCACCAGAGCTGTCCCCAATAGCCCCAAGACTGTCTCCAGTGGCCATCCCCATGCTGTCCCCCATTAGGACTGCCTCCAACACCACCCCACACACGCTGTCCTCCACCACGGCTGTCCCTGACACCCCCCAACGCCATCCCCTACCCGGGCTGTCCCCAATCCCCCCCACCAC